TGGAATCATTGCTGCTTGCATTGTTCTCTCAGGGCAGTGCAGGCGATTGCTACTTTGGCTGCTGCGAGGATTGGCTTTCGAAACTTTGGGAATCCAGGGGCCGAGATTGTCGGCAGAACAGCGGTTGGCTGAGTACCGCCACCGTGCATGAGCATCAGCAGTGGGGACGTGGAATCCTTGACTGTTGTGTTTGCCGGGCTGCGAGTTTCAATCCGTCGGCGAGCCGGGCATCCTATTGCCCTTTCGGTTTCTGATTTGGAACTGGTGAGTGCTGAAGAACCTGAGGCCCCGCTGCCCCCAACGAGGAGTCCGGATACCGCTATCCTGGCTGCTTACAGTCCTGAGGCCCTACAAAGGCTTTCTATCCCTGAGCTGGATACTTTGTCCCGGCGTCTCACAGGAACTGCAGGGACTTGGACGGGAGCGGCACGCGTAGCTCGTGCATTCCGCGCCGGGCTGGGGGCCCGACAACATCTTCTCGGCGGTTCAAAGATTTCTTCTCCCCAAATCCCTGGCTTGCGAAACGTCTACTACATTGTGCTGCGGGCACCGGGTGTTCCAGCCGGGGCGTGGACGCGATCTTTCAGGACTTACCAGGAACTGGTGCATGGCAGCGGTCCTCGGGGGTCTTTCGACATCAACAGCTCATCGCATTCATTCCCTAGCTTGGTGGAAGCAGAGGCCTACTTGCTCGGAGCCGAGCGAGAATGGCCGGAGGAGCGCCAGTAAGGCGGGCACTAGCCCGCAGCGACGTGGAGAGCTACGCCTTGGGGGTGCAAGGGGACCGGCCTTTGCCCCCAGGATACTTGGTGCTGCCTGCGGCTGGCGAGGAGGACGTCGAAAGGTTCGAGTGCGGGCCAATGGCTTCATGGTGGTGTTGCCAAACATCAACGAGGTTCGCGGTTACATCGAGGGTCTCTCGGGAGAAGATGGCGAACCGGTGGCGCTGATACAACGACAGCAACTGCAGGCGGAGACTGTGCGAGGCCGTCACTTGGGATCCGCTCAGGTGCTACTCGTGGATGTTCCTTGGAGCGGCTTGGAGTACTTTGTGAAGCAGCAGGCCATAAAAGGGTTGCCAGATCGAGCTTCGCGAGTCCTGACATTAGCTGTCGGGGGCACGCCGGGGCGGCCCATGGCTGGGGACGCATTGGACGCTGCAAGCCGGTGGGTGGACCACTTGGACATGGACACTGCCCAAGAATATTGGGCAAGCGCCCAGGAGATGCTCGACGGCGAGGCCATGGAGGAGGAGGAGCCCACCGAAGTGCCGAGGGCTGCAGCGATGCCACCGCCAGCTACCAGGTCCCGAGTACCAACGGGGCCTCATCGGGGAGTACCACCAGGAGGCCATCATCAAGGCGCGCTCTTCGGCGAGGGTGCCGGACTGACAGATGCAGATGCGGAGCTGAGCCGATTGAGAACGCTGGCGGGAGGAGCTCTTGCGCGGACAGGTCGAGTGGAGCAGCAGGCTTTGCTTCAGGCGCCATTAACAAAAGGGGGTCTCCACATAGAGGGAGTTCGAAGCGATCCCACCACCCTATGTGCAGGACCCTTTGCAGGAGGCCCTGGAGCCGGGAGCCTCCATGCATGCTCTGCTGCTAGCCCAGATGAGGCAGAACGCCCTCCTTTTGGAGAAGCTTGTGGCACATCGGAGCGGAGTCCGGAGTGCAAGACGCCCTCGCATCGGGCGGGGCCAGCGGGAGCGACGGATCCTCCGGGATTCGGGATAAAGGGCCATCTGGCTCGCGAGGCTGTTGTGAAGCAGGTCCAAGACGCCAAGGCAGTGACGGCCAGAGTTCAAGCCAACGCCTTGGCCGAACTGGGTTTGTACACCGGGCTTGATGCGGGAGTATTTGGAAAAGCGAGTGCCGTTGTTCGAGCAGAAGCTTCTGCAACACGTGGGGTGCATGGCAGCTCATGGTTGGGAGCAGGGGCATCGCACGGACAACGTGGAGTTACAAGCCTTTGCAAGTCGGATCTTGATGTTCGTGGAGCAGTGCGCCCTGGATGCTGGAAAGGTTCAACTTGCTTACCTATTAACGGGCATTCCGGATCCCTCACCCCTGGAGTTCAGCTCGAGGCGAGCGCCTGGCCTAAAGAACTTCTCAAGGCTCACACCGGCCCAATGGATGGCTGCGAACTTAGCTTTCGTCAAGGAGCTGGACTATGCCGAGACCCGCGTTGCCCAGTTCTCGAACAACCGGGGAACACCGCAGGCTCCTCCTCGCACGCCCGCGCCGGGCGATGCAGCTCAGGAAGCCGACGACGCCGGCGAGAAGCCCCCGCGGAGGCCCAGAGGACCCAGGCGCCCGAGAAACGACACTGCAAGCTAGGGGTCCTGGGTGGTTCGGGGGTGCCTTTTGGTTCTGCAGGAAGTCTGGACAAGAGTTTTTCTGCATGCGGCCAAAGGCCCACCGAGCTGCCCGGTTTCGATTCGCAACGCACAGAGCAGATCGATCCCCTCGAATTAGTATCTCAGCTTATTGCGGGTTTTTATAGTTGTAAGTCCTGTCTTAGTTGGTTTGTTCGGGATTCCTTAGCAGACCCTGCCTGCGATGTGAAGGTTGCTCCCTCAGGGGGCGATCTATGGCCCATCCCTCCACCCCGGTGGCGATGGATGGGATGCACCCGAAGTGGTCGCAAATTCAAGCGCCGTCGCCGGCGGCTTCAACTTCGCGCTCAGCTGCTGCAACTTTTGGTGTGTGCACTTAACTGGGAAACCCTAGGTCATCCCCGTCGTGCTCCCCCGAATGGCCGTGTAGGTGGTTGCCTTAGCGGTGCCCAAGAGCGCTGGAGACCTGGGTCGCGCGGCCGATAAATTAAGGAGTTTAACTAGTGTAGTTGACCAGCTCGGCGTGGACCTCCTAGGTTGGGCTTCTTGTGTGCATGATTCCCTCCTTCCCTATGTCACCTTCGACCCGGTGGCAGAGGCCCAGGCTCCGCAACAGTTTGTGGACTTTCGTAGTGACACTGCCTTGCCTGTGGTGGCCGATCGCATCAAGTGGGAATACGGTCCTATGTTTCAACCTGCACCCTACCTTAGTCCCCACCTTAAACTTGCATTCGAGCATCCATCAGTGCTTCGCCGTCCGGAGGAAGAGTGGGTGGACGTTCCGCCCGCGCGATTGCATTGCTCGAAGGATGAACTCTTGAAGCTTGCTGAAAGATGGGATCGATTGGGTTCGGTGGTAATCGCGCCCGCCTCTGGAGTCAAATGGAGTGAAACCGTAGGATTGTTTTCCGTGGGTAAGTCTGCTACTCATGATAGGCTCATTATTAATCCTCGTGTCAGTAATGCTCGGTCTTACTCCATACTCAAAGACACTTGCACCAGGCTCGCTTCTGACGCTGCTGTCGGTAACCCGAACAAGGGCTCAGGTTCCAAGCGGACGATTTGAGCGACTATTATTACACCTATAAGATTTCTCCAGAACGTGCCAATCGGAATTGCATCCGATGTTTGTTTGATCCGAGCGAGTTGCGCCACTTGCGAGCCGCACGCGATGTTGTGATGAGCGGCCCTCAAGTCCTTGCTTTAAACACCATGGCCATGGGCGACAGCCTGTCTGTAGAAGTAGGGCAAGCTGCTCATTACTCCGTCCTTCGGCAACACTGTGGAACATTGTTGACAGTCAGTACCCAAGGGTAGCACGATTGAGCTGTTAGCGATTGACGATCATGCTTGTTGCCAAAAACTTCTCCTCACAGACCTTGTGAAAGAGCCCTGTTTGCGTGACACCGTCATCTTCTCCAATGCGACCAAAAGTTACAAGCGCATGTCGGTCTTGTTTTGAACGACAACAAGAAGCGGCGAAACTTGACGAAAGGAACGGTCCTTGGGGCCGAGATTGACGGTGTCAAGGGTGTTGTGGGCCCGCCTCGCGACCGGACTTTGGCACTCTCGCTGGTGTCGGCTGTGGTTGCAAAACGCGGTCACGCCACTAGAGAATTGCTGGACAGAGTGTTGGGGTCGTGGGTTCACTTGTTGATGTCTAGACGGCCTGTGTTTTCGGTTTTAGATGCCTTGTTTCGTGAAGGGCAAGGCGCCGGTGGAAACGGGTTTCTTTAGACTGAGTGATCAGAGCCGGAATGAGCTGTTGATGCTTAGCTGCTTGTCTCCTTTGCTCAGTGTCGATTTGCGAGCCGAATATGATTCAAACCTGTACTGCCTTGACGCGCCACCCTTTGGTGGAGCAGTGTGCGCTGCAGACGTGAAGGCCCAAGGTGCAGCTGAGCTGTGGCGACACGGGGAGCTCCGAGGCTACCACACTAGGCTTGAGTCCGAGGTTTCCGCAATCCTCGCATAAGTTGTTTGGTGGGTCAACCGTTCTGCCTGACGCCTTGTGCAAACATCCTACTCTTGACCCCTACGTACCCCGCCCCTTGACCGAAGGAGTCTTGTATGACTTGTATGATGCAGTCGTTCTGCAGTCTGGTTTAAGCTCTTGGGGTTCTGCACTTGAGGGTTTCGGTCTTCGGGTACTTTACAAGAAGTTTGTAGTTGAGCCTGAAGTTGATGGCTTCCCGCGTTTCGATGAAGCTGCCGCTCGCGAGCTTTCTGCTTTGGCCTTGAGGCGTGTCGTGCGTGAGTGGCATTGTACTGTGCCTCGAGCTTTGGCGCGACAGTGGAAGCGCGGACGCTCGTGAGACTCGTGTGCTTTGTCTTCACCACCGCCCTTCGGTGCGAGCAGATGGTTTCGTTTGCTAAGCCAGCCCGTGCCACGCTTTGGGCACTAGACAGCTTCCGCACTCTTGTGAGTCTGGGCTGCGTGGTGACGCGGTTCTGCCACTGTGGTTTCGGTCGCCCTTTCTTGCAAGAGACCGAAGTTCTGCACAACAAGCCATGGCTGTGTACGCTAGAGTGCGTGTGCGAGTGTGGGAACAAGGCTACTCACTGGACTAGCTCGGGATGCTTTAAATCAGAGAGTGTCTTAGCTTTCGAGGCCAGCTGCAAGCCGTCGGTAGACCGGGTCTTCGAACGAGGGCCTGAAGTTGGCATGGAGACTGCCGTCTTTTCAGAAGTGCTGCCGTTCGGGTTGTCCAGTCGCTTAGGCGCGGGTTCAGCTGCTGCCGCTCGCGGGTATGTGCCACGCATGCCTTTGGCCGTCCGTGATTACACCTGCAAGCGCTTCGGCATTGATTGTGGTCTAGACTTCCTGCGACGAGGGCCCGGTGATGAGCTCTACGCTCCGCGTGAGTGGCATGAGGATGCTGAGTGGATCTCTGAGTTGTGTCGCTCTTTAAGGCTTAGGGAGTTGTTTAGGTACACTTTCAAAAAGCCGGGTCATATCAATGTCAACGAAGCGCGGGTGTTCAAGAGTTGGGTTAAAAGCGTAGCTCGCAGGTCTCAAAACATTCGAGCCACGGCCATTCTTGATTCACGAGTCACCATCGGAGCAGCAGCGAAGGGCAGAACGCCATCAGTAGGGTCCTTCGGGGTTCTTTGGGGTATGTTCTAGGCTCAGGGATTTACTTCAGTCTGTGGCAACTCGCAGGACAACGTTGCTGATCCTCCCAGTCGGGGAAAAGATGTCGCGCCTCCCAGCCGGGAGATGGCAAGGTGGCTCACCGAGCTGCTGAAGGGCGACACCCGTCGTTTCGAGACTGTGGTCGAGTCGGTGCGAGTCCCTCGCAACCCCGCTCGATGGTTGCGGCTCTTGTTACTTCTGGCAGGAGACATCTAAAGAAACCCTGGGCCTGTGCAAAGCAAACCTCGTCCAAGGGGCCCTTTGGACCTGGAGGCTGGCTTTGCGGCCAGCACAGCCCACAAGATTACGAAGAGCTTTCGCGCTTTCTTGGTCTGGCTAAAGAACGAGGCTCAGTGCAACAGTGAGGCGGTCTTTTCTTCAGCTGAGGCTACGGCGATGGCCTTGCGAGGTTACGGACTGCACCTCTACGAGACCGGCATGCCCCGCTACTTGCTGGTTTACGCTATCACTGCTGTTCAAGATAAGTTTCCCCAGCACAGAAACTTTCTTACTGCTGCTTGGCAAGTGGACAAGAAGTGGCAGCGCGCTGAGCCAGGATCTTGCAGAGCGGTCCTGCCAGTGGCAGCCATTCGGGCCTGCGTGAGTTTGTCGTTGCTCTGGGGCTGGTCCAGATGGTGCTGTCTTCTGATAATAGGTTTTCTGGCGATGCTGCACCCGGCTGAGTTGCTTCTCTTGGAGCGCCGCGACCTGGTTTTTCCTTCCGACACTCTGGGTCACACGCAGTCGCTGTTCGTCCACCTCCGAAGCCCTAAGACTTCGAGGTTTGCAAGGAGGCAACATGGTCGCATCGCTGATTTACAGGCAATCAGTTTTCTGTTCTGCACTTTACGTCACCTTCGTCCTTCGGATAAGGTTTTTTTCCGGGTTCTCTTTACAGTTTTCGAAAGCAGTGGGATGCAGTGATGCATCACTTGGGCCTGCCGCATCGCGCGGCAGACCGTGGTGCAACTCCTGGTGTATTGCGTGGTTCAGGAGCTACCCATTTCTACATCAGCACTGAGAACATTCCTTTGCTGGCCTGGCGGGGCCGATGGGCCAGGACGAAAACTTCAGAGTTTTACCTGCAAGAGGTGGCCGCGCAAGTCTTACTGACGGAGATCAGTCCAGCTGCTCGCTCTCGCATCAAGTCCCTGGATGACGCCGCGGACAGCTTACTTGCGCATTTTTCTGGTGCTTCGCAGTATTGAAGGAGTGGAAGAGCGTCTGTACATTCGCTTTAAACGGAAGCAGACGAACGAAGTTCGTAACCTCCAGCTAGTGTCGTCGAGGCTCTCCGACAAGCCTGGAGCTTTCTGCGGCTGCAAATGCAGCGAACTGGGCAGCTTCGAGTCAAGCAGGCGAAAGGAGGGAGATGCCTTGTATCTCGTGAACTGACGTTTCCGCGGCACTCGCTGCTCAAGTTTCTCCCGGCCCGCCCGCCCTTTCTGAGGAAGAGCGTCTGTACATTCGCTTTAAAACGGAAGCAGACGAACGAAGTTCGTAACCTCCAGCTAGTGTCGTCGAGGCTCTCCGACAAGCCTGGAGCTTTCTGCGGCTGCAAATGCAGTGAACTGGGCAGCTTCGAGCCAAGCAGGCGAAAGGAGGGAGATAGGGTACAGGATTTGTAGTTTAAAGTTTCATGAATTTCTTGAACGAGGTGTTACATAAATACAGGTGTGTTCTTGTGTTGCAACAGAAGGACGGCTCAGGGTTTCTGGTTTTTGGGGGTTGGGGCTAGCGACTATACATCCTCTGCTACCTTATAAATTACCTATCAAAGCCCAGCATCCTGGCTGGGAACTGTAGGTTAGAGTTGTGTAGGGTTTAGGGCTTCTGGGAATTTTGGTTTAGAGTTAGTTGTTTAGGGTTTAGGGTTCACAGTATAGATCTGAGCACACAGCTTCATATTTGCAATCTGCGCTTTGTTGCCGTGGGCGTCCGCAGTAAGGGTTGGGTTCACGAGTTCATAGCATCCAGAAGAGGTCTGGAGCTTATAGATTAGGAGTTAGGGTTGAATGTAGTTCAACTCGACAGCAGGGCTTTAGTTCGAAGCCGCGTAGACCAAAACAAAGCCATGTTAGCACCTCTAGAGGAGTATAAGACGGGGGTCTGCATACTGTTGATGATACAAGCCCTGCATTACCGTAAGGACCCTAAACTTTTGGAATTCTGGTATATTCTACTTTAGGATCCAGGTAAGCCCTAAAAGTAAACGGCTGGTTGAACCCTTGAACCCCCAAAGCCCGCAAAGCCCTCTTGGACCCTCAAAACCCCAGACTCAGCCCCCAAGAAACAGAGCACCCCGTATAGAAAGCCCCTTAGAACCCTTAAGTAATACAATGGCTCTAGTTGAAAGCCACAGATCTTACAAGACAGCGACACTAAGGATGAGACGCTGCTTGCTGAAGTCTACAGCATTAAAGATGCCCAGGAGCTGAAAGGTCAAACTCCGGAGGGCATTTTAGGGTTTAGGGTTTAAGGTTTAGGGGCTTCATCTGGCATTGTGTCGACACAACCTAAACTTGTTTCCAGCATGAGGCTTGCAATTGGCCACCCTTTGCATCCTAATTCCCCTAAACCCTAAACCCTAGCATGTCGGGGACTCCTTCTGTCAGCCGGTTTGGCTTCCAGCCGTCTGAGTGAGGAAGCTGCAAGCCTGAAAGCCAGAGTTTCCTAGAGGCTCCATATATACTACCATTATGGAATTAAGTTTGGGACCATCCTTATTGGTTTTGGGGAGCCTAATTCCATAATAGTAGTGTAAATGGAGCCTCTGGGTTTCATGATAGATTTTAGATTATCCTTCCTGCCCAGGGGGATTTGGGGTTTGAGGTTGTGCGGTTGAGGCTGTGGGCTCTAAGGTTCAGGCTTTTGGGGGGCTTTAGGGATCTGGGGTTTTGGGTGAGAGGGCTCGGGAGTTTAAGTGCTTAGGGGTTTGGGGCTTCGGGTTTAGGGACTTTAGGCTTTAGGGTTAGGGTTTAGGGTTTAGGGTTTAGGGACTTTAGGCCGTAGGGTTTAGGGATTAGGGTTTCGGGTTTAGGGTTAGGGTTTGGGGGTATAAGGGCGGGCCGTAAAACTGGAGGAGCTGGAGCATCTGATCCTGGAGTGCGCGGACATGTTTCAGCCACTTGTCTTCCAAGCGCACTCCTCTGCAGGACTTTTCACCCTAAGCCCTAAACCCGAAGCCCGAAACCTTAAACCCTAAACCCTAAACCTTAAACCTTAAACCCGAAACCTTAAAGCCTAAACCTTAAACCCTAAACCCGAAACCTTAGACCCTGTAACCCCTAAAGCCCTGAACCCCAAAGCCACATGCCAAGACCTCGGCTCCGCAACCCCAAGCCCCCCAATGCCCCAAAGCTCCCAGAAGTCCCGACAACCCTACAGGGTTTAGGATTTAGGGTTTAGATGGGTTTAGGATTTAGGGTTTAGGGGTTTAGATGGGTTTAGGATTTAGGGTTAGGGGTTTAAAAGGGTTTAGGATTTAGGGTTTGGGGGTTTAAATGGGTTTAGGATTTAGGGTTTAGGGGTTTAAATGGGTTTAGGATTTAGGGTTTAGAGGTTCAACTGGGTTTAGGATTTAGGGTTTAGGGGTTCAATTGGGTTTAGGGTTTAGGGGTTCAAAAGGGTTTAGGGTTTAGGATTTAGGGTTTCAGGTTTAGTAATAGGGTTTAGGGTTTAGGGGTCACGGGTCTGCAAAAAGTCAGGCTCCAAAAGAATACAGTAGTTAGGTGCTGGGTGGCTGATACTGGGCACGTAGGTTACCATCTGGGGGAGCACATTGCTTGCCTTTTTCGCTTTTGTGGTTTTCGGGCTTAGAGTTGAGCTTAAGGTTATGCTCGGGGTTGTGCATTACGGAGCCTCGTAAGAATTTTATAGAACCTTTCGTACTGCACTGCTAAAGGTTCGGGCTTGCTAATGTGTTTTAATAGTTAGAACAGGGCTTTGGGGACCATTCTACTGTACTTATAAGAAGGAACCCCCAAAATAGTGTTGGTAAGCCCTAAGCCCTAAACCCCCAATTTTGGGTGCCTTGGCAGTTAGGGTTGAGCTTTGGCTTCGCCGCAAGGATCAGGGGACGTAGCAAGTAGGTTATAAGCACGGTTGCAATATCTACGTCATGTAGTAATACCCCCCTAAGCCCTAAACCCTGTATACAAACCCTAAGCCCCACTTTCCAAGTCTTATGAGCCTCCAGACAAGGCTGGCCTAGGGTTTAGGCTTGGTTTAGGGTTTAGGTTTCAGGTTTGAGCCATAGAGCATACGTAGAGGATCATGAGAACTAGTCTAGTAGCTAGGGCAGCTAGGGCAAGAGATGAGGTAACTATAATCATAAATACTGATAGCTCCAGTCAAGGCACTTATAGCTTTACTTACTAATTTGACGAAGATCCTCAAGTAGGTGCAGATCTCCCTGACTTGCCGAACACCCAAGCATTGAATCAAGGCTGGGTCAGTCAGAGAGATTCTCCTCGCAACAGCTGCCGTGCAAGGTCACAAGCACGTCTGTGATGCGTAGGTGTTGAGGAACAGCCTCTGGTATGATCCTGTCTGTGAGCCATATCCCAAACCAGCGGTTCTGCGCATCTAAACGCTACAGTAATCTTGAATTCCTAAACACTGCACCGTATCATGGGCCTACACCCAAAGCCCTAACGCTCTAGCCCTGAACCCAAAGCCTCGTATACAGGCCCTTCTATAAACCCCTCAGAGGAAGTCGCAAAGGAGCCCATAGCAACCGCCCACGTCACTGAGGGTCCTGCATCGCCGTCCTGTAGAAACTTTCGGCTGGCGTCGTCCGCCAAGGGAATCCTCGTACAAGAAGAGGGAGTTCTTTTAGGGTTCCCAAAAAGGGCTGCCTTAAAGGTTCCATTACGGGTTCCTGTGTTACCCTTAATTTCGGGTGTCATGAGTCTTTCTACGGGGTTCAAGGCTGATAATCAGGATCAGGCCAAAGCCAGGGAGGTGTTTGAAATTTGGGATTGTCGTCTGGAGCAGGTGGCTGTCGTGAACTGGCGCCCTTCCAGGCGTCCCGAGCGTATGTTGAACGGCTACCCCTGAACTGTAGCAGGCAGTTAAACATAAATATAGACGTAAATATGAATAAACAAATAAACAAACCAATAAATACATAAAGAAAACATAAATAAATAAATAAATATGTGTAGATATATAGAAAAAATATAGATATATTCACTCAAATAATTAGACTAAATCCTGATAGTTTGAGCCACTACAGAACGCATAAGAAGGATCCATTGTAGTTCCTTTTCGGGTTTATACTTAGGTTCCTATAAGGTAATCCCAAAAAGGAAGTACAATGGAGCCTATGGGTAAACCCCGACATAAAAGTCCTAGAACCCGAACCGAATACCTCTCATGTCATCTCTGCTGCCGGCCGGCTCGTGTGCGCCTCTCCACGAGAGTTCCAGCATGGAACCGTAGCTCCTCGTTGCCATCGCTGAGTGTTTTGGGTTTAAGGCTTATAAGATTGATAGGGGTTTCGGGGCTTAGGGTTTGGCGTTTAGGGTTTAAGGCTTAGGATTTAGGATTTGGGGGTTTGGGAATTAGGTTTAGGGTTGGCTATCAAGGGCACGGTCTCAACAGCACGTTTAGGGTGCAGGACTTAGGGGCGCCTTATGCAGGGGTCCACTTCGCTAAAAGAACGTACTAGCTGGCGTTCTTTTTTTTCGGGATGTTTCTATGTGTCTTCAGCAGTCTTAAGCTTTAAAGTGGGCCGTAGAGCTCAGACTGTTGGGTGACGCGCATCGGACCAACCGTGATAAGCCCAAAAGAGGGGCAGGTGTAGGGTTTGGGTCCAGGTTTTGGGTCCGAAATTGTACCACCCTTTCCCCAAGCTCGCTAAATCTTACATAAACCTCAAACAAAGAAAAGCCAGAACCGTGAAACCCGAAACCTCCGTGTAGTTTCCCATTCCCTGAACCCCATGAGGAACCCCTGTAAACCCGAAACCTCCGTGTAGTTTCCCTTTCCCTGAACCCCTGAGAAACCCCTGTAATGGGAGTTAGGATTAGGGGGACCCCTGAAAATATATCTAAACCCCTAAACCCTAAACCCTAAAACCCTAAACCCTAAACCCTAAACCCGAACAAAAGCACCAGAAGCGTCCTCGGCTCGGTTCCGGAGATGGTCCCCGAACCCAGGAGGTCTCCCGGCGCCTGGAGCAAACACTGAGGAGACCAAGGCG